TAGCCGGAGCCCAATTTTCAAAAGGTGGTCAACGCATCTGTAACCCTCGGGTGTGGCAGATGTCCATGGGCGGCGGTATTCACTTAACATCAGGTGAACCGTCTGCTCGTTTGACAATTTTTAGCATAAAATAAAAAAATTTGAGGTTTCATCAATTAATTAGTCAAGATTTTTATTTGAACACTTTGTTATTTGGACGGTTCGAAAATACAAAATTGATGGCGGTTTTTTTTTTGCAAAGTTTTCGAAAAAGTATATAAATAATAGGCAACAGGCAATAACTGTAATGTTTTAGAATATCAATGAAAACAATTTCTCAAAAGATTACATAAATGTAAACAAAAATCACTTACATCGTTTGCAGTTATTAAGAAATTCCATGGAACTAGCGATGTGATACCAAAGAGATAAAAAAGAATGTATACAAGTCGATATCTGTCTTTTGGTTGTTCGTCACTATTAAGGACCTTTGTGGAACAGGAGTCAGTTACCAACTCTCTTTCTTCAGAGTCATCAATGACTTCTTCATTTTCTATCGTTTCAATACAATCATTGTTTATCGATCCTGTATTTTCCATCTTCTCGAATATGTGGATTTATTGTCGTAAAACGACGTCGTTATCTTGTTAGTATTAGAAAAGTATCACAACACTAAACCGCTATAACACATTAAATTATGTTATCATCGTAAAGATCATTAAAAAACGATAGGAGATCGAAGAAGATAGATGTCACCAATTCATCATTCAATATGTATATTGTATAAATTCATTAAAATTCTGATGTGATTTGTTTTGTCTGTCGCATGGAATGGAAGTGGATGGAGGATAAAAGTAAGGAGAACAATCTCTGTGGATAAAACTTCTGTCAAAATGAAAAACCATTAAATTAGTGGCGCTATTGTAGCAGGTGGGTACTACATAGTGATTGTTAGTTCCTTTTGAAATACACATTTGCTAAGCTAGCGCCATTCTGGTGGGTTTTCAAACTATAATTCGCTACTTGCCGCTGGATATTTTTTAACTTATCCAGAATAAAATTCGCTACGACGCTTTCCTAGCTCCTATAATCTGAACTTTCGCTTTTATAGGGGGGAGTGCTGCCATCAAATATTACAGAGTTGTCGTATTCGATTTGCAGATTGCCATATTTTTAAATAAATATCGTGAAATTGCCGTATTGTTTAGTTTCATTAATTAAAAATTGAAGGTAGTAACAAGAGGGACAAAAAATGACCCACTCAATATGTGTGATAATTCACCATAGAAATTTGTAATCGTCTCAATTACTTCCCTTCGCAATATCTACTTAATTTGCATTTTCACACACATATCGGCACACATTTGGTTAGAATAATGAGTACTTAACTTATAACAGTAGCCTTTTGAATCAAAATTTAAATGCCATATATTATTATATGGCTCTGCAAAACCTGCCTTATGCCGTATTTTCTGAAATTATGTGTTTGAATTACCGTATATTAAGAAAATTGCAACCGTGTCAATGGCAACGCTGATAGAGGGTAGACGTAATGAGAACTGTCTCATCTATGGGAACAGCTGCAAAAGTGTCCAGCTGTAAGCAGTAAATAACACTTCCAAATCCCTCCAGAATGCTGCAAGAGAGTTTAAAATTAATGAATTTTGTCGTAATTGACGGAGCGTAGTTTGCTGCGAAGAAAGATTTTAAATTAGTGTGGCGTGTAGAGATGAGGAGGAAAATTTTATATAAGTTAATAAGTATAAGTATATAATATAAGTCGTAAATAATAAGCATAAAATAGTTCAAAAAATTAAAGAAAAGTTGACTTTTAATAACAAGTAACTATGGTAACGATAAATTCATCGCCACGGCCTAATGACCACATCGACGGACACAATTTATCCCGAGAGATTTTTCTATATACCCAAATCCTCAATTTTGTAGGTGTTGCATGTTTCTAAATCAACCTCAGGCTATCAATACAAAATGTTTAAGATCCCGGATTATACATAATTATAAGCACTCAACAGAATCAAATTTTAATTAACTTCACTCTTGACTGGTGCCCGATAACACGTCGTCTCTTGGACTAGGCAACAGAGGCCACACATCCGCCGATTGCCTCATCAAGAGAGTGCACGTGTGCGCGGCACGCAATACATGCCTCGAGTTGAAATTCTAAATCCATACTTACATAAATTTACATACATAATTTTATTTTAATCCCGTTTTTTGTAAAATCAGCCATAAATAATTTTCGGATTAAAAAGTTTGCATGTATTGCAACATTAAATAAATAATTTAAGGCCATGGAATATTACAGAGTCTGTCATAACAATATACGTTATAGAATTCCGTACCATAAGGGTAAAACGGGACTCTATCTCTAAGACTCCGCTGTCTGTCTGTCCGTCTGCCACCAGGCTGTATCTCATGAATTGTGATAGTTGAAATTTTCCCAGATGTATTTCTGTTGCCGCTATAACAACAAATACTAAAAAAACGGAATAAAAAAATATTTAAGTGGGGCCATACAACAGACAAAATTTTTTTGCAGTTTTATAGATTGAGTCTCTATGGAGTCTAGTAACTGGCGTTACAAGCTGTTTGTTCCTAAGTTTTACATTATGTACATCAGTATTCTTATTAAAATTATTTATATTTCTAAGTACATACATAACATTTTCATATATATTATATATATATATATATATATATATATATATATATATATATATATTTATTTCTTTAAATTTCTCTTATGGCCCTGTTTTGCGAAATAAAAATTGTTTCTATATCGGCCGCGTGCCCCCATAGCGAAATACCATATGACATTATGCTATGGAAATAACAAAAATAAACAATTCTAACTGTTTTTACATCAGTTAGACATCTTATTTTCCTTATAGCATATGCTGCAGAACTTGGTTTATTCGCAAGTTTGGATATATCAGGACCCCATTGAAGATGTCCACAAGGCCTATCTCTCCCCATTTATAAGTACATTGGTAGCACCCAATTGTTTAACATTAGGTGTTGAAAATTTCATACATTTAGTTTTATTACAATTTAATAGTAAATTGTTACTATTAAACCAATAGACTATTTCTGACATAGCATTATTTACCACGTCAAGTGTAACAAAGTGTCGATCGATTTAAAAAAAAATTAATGAAATATCATCGGTAAATAACACTATATCGTGTTTATTCTCCAAAAAGTAAAGAAGATCATTGATGTAAATGAGAAAAAGAAATGGGCCGAGAATCGGGCTCTGCGGAACGCCCATAGATACCTTCGTACCAGAAGAACTAGCACCATTAATTACAACTTTTTGGATTCTATTAGATAAATATGACTTAATGAGGTCAAGCGCGGTACTTCTAATGCCATAATGGCGCAATTTCCTGATAAGTGTTTCATGATTCACGCAATCTAAAGCCTTGGAAAGATCACAATAGATACCCAAAGCATCTTGTGGACTGTAAGCCTCAAATATGTTTGAACAGCTCCACAACAGCATCGGTTGTAGAACGACCCCTTGTAAAACCAAAATGATCATGATGTAATTATTTTTGTCTTAACAGCTGATCAAGAAGACGTAGTAGAAGTGTTGGTAGTATAGAAATGGGTCTAAAGTTTGTGGGGTCCGAAGTACTACCGGATTTAACCGGCACAGGTATAATCATATGAAAAAGGTATTACATAACTCCTGTCCAGTTTTGAGTTAACAATGCCAAAGCAGGTAAATTAAACAAAGTTTTACTTAAATAAGATTATAATAAAGTTCTCAGTTGATTTTATTAGCAACTTCTGGTACCAACTTTGTATAACGTAAATATTTGCACAGAATATAGACAAAGAATATGTTTTAATAAATAAAAGTATTATTAAGTGATGTGAAGCACATGTAGAGAAAAAAAATATAAAAAAGCGTTTGCGAAAAAAACATTTGTACATAAAAAAAATCCTTATTAAATTATATTTGTAAATAACATCTTAATTTCGGAACTTAATTTCATTATACATTTATTGTCAAGGACGGACACATTACAAAAACTTAAAACTAAATATTTTTTTAAAACTATTTTAATAAAATTTACTGTAACAAAATGCTTAACTAATCTAAGTGGTACATTAGTACAAGTTACTATTCTTAAAAATAAAATTCTTTTCATGCATTTATTTATGTTCCTAAAACAAATAGAAGAAAATACATATAATAATTATGTATATCCTCTAAAAAGGCTTTTGTTGTTAAGATATTCCACTTAATGAGATCTTGCAAATACGATATCTCACTACAAAATATCGAGTTTAAAATTATGTTTCTTACATAAAAAAAAATGTATTGGAACAATAAAATATAATGCTTAAACGCCATTTAAGTAAACACTGGCACTTGAAATGTATTAAACAAAAGATTTAGGAGAGCAAAATATGTCCAAATATATGAGAGGGTATGAAAAATAAAAAATGCATTAACATTTTACATGTGACATCAATTTCCGCTTTCAGTCTTATCTTTTTATTTAGCAACTACCTGATTTAATAGTGCAATTACTAATAAATTTTATTAAAATGACACATATATGTCAGATATAATACTAATCATTGTAAATTTAATATACAATTACACTAAAACATTGTGCAGTATATATGATAATCATATTAAAAATTTAATTAACATTTTTAGAAAAATGCGATACAACCTTGAACACATTCTGGTACAAGAATTAGTAAGAAATTATATTGAAAATATTGCATAATATATATTTTGTAACAAAATAAATATATTGCCATAAGGTAATAATAATATTTTGAAATAGCAGTAGTGCAATATTGATTAGCAAGTTTTGTTATTTCATAATGTTCCTAGTTAGCCTATGCAGGTATTGTGAATCCTTTTCTGCACCTAGTTTTATCTAGCTTGATGTCTTGAGAAATCAAGTACATAGTGTGGACGCACCAATTGTTATACATTTAAACATTTGCCTACGAGTACTATCTAGTTTTCACATAGCCGTCTCCAGTGGCTGACTGTACGATCGGCTGTCTTCAGTCATCGGTGTGGGGCTCGTTTGGTCGAAGTCGAAGTTGGTCTCCAGCAGGGCCTCCGACTTGGATCTGCTGTGCAGGTCCTGCAGCTCCGACGGGTAGTGGTCGTACTGCTGCGAGGAGTTGGGGCTGGAGTCGTAGCTGGCGAGCGCTTCAGAGTCGTAGGCGCTCGAATACACCGGCGGGTTGGGGGGTGAAGGCAGGGTGTCCTCGTAGTATTCCCGCTGGTCTGTTGGTTTCAAAACACATATTGTGGACAGTTACTTTAAGCGTCCCTTTGGAAATGCTTTTCGGGTAATAATTTATAAGTTGCAATTCCTAAAAAGCAATATAACATTTCTTTCGATTTTGATTCATAACTATATAATGACTCCGTGGCGCAGTGGCCAAGGTATTGGGTTCGGCGTCGTGGGTCGTGGGTGCGGTTCCCACACGGGACAACTATTTGTTTGACCCACAGATAGATAGTTCTTTCGCATCTGGATGTTTGTACGCGTGAAACTTATGTTTATAAAATGTCCTTACAACACTGGATATGTTCATCTGAAGTAAAGGAAATGTTTAAAAAAAATTGTTATGGCTTGGGACTTTTTTGTGTTCAGGATATCAATTTCAGGATTATCTTTTATGGGATTCATAACTATATATCATATATTATACATCATATTCCCTAATGCAGGTTTTTTTAAAAGAAAAAAAAAAAGCAAAAAAAAAATTAAAATGTTTGTAAGCTATATTTATATCAGTTCTATAACAATCATATAACAAAATTCCATAGCTCTCTTTCCCCCTCCCAAGAAATATATAACATCAATATTAAAACTAATATTATATACCTAGATGTAGTATTTTAAGTTATTAAATTTCGGTAATTCGTCTTTTAACATACACTAAACTAAGGGTGAATTTTTTGTTGCAAACTTGTCGAGAAATTTTCGGCACTTCGGGTTTCGAACCTGCTGTTCTCGGTAACAAGCCCCTAACTGTTCTTATCCAGTGGTTATTCCAGAAGATATAGTCACCACGAAATCCTCAAGTCGCGAAAATGTCGAGATCCATCATCTACTTATGTTAGTGCCGTTTAGCCAGCTAGAGTTGGCATTTAGACTGACTGTGGTAGGGCCACGCAACAGCCTTCACTGTTGCATGAATGGGCAGGTTGGTCCGGGGGAGTACCACTTCACAGAACACAGGCGTAAACTGGAAATGTTACACTTCTGCGTTCCGTCTGGTGAATGAGGCATTTCATTAAAATTTGGCAACATCTGCAACTGTACGGGTGTTGTAAATGTCCATGGGCGGCGGTTATCACTTAACATGCGGTGAACCGTCTGATACTCTACCAATATAGAAAAATTACTCGACTCAAAGCTTTAATAGTATTTACGGCAAAAAAAATTATCATCCTGATATTTTAGACTGCAGTATAAGATTAGAACATGCTGTAGAATTGGCATCAGCTACATACCTGGTGGTGTGCTGCTCCTCTGTCCGAAGGTGCTGGTCGGCACCGCGCCGGGTTGTGGTTGTTCCGGCATTTTGGACCTCAACTCCATCAGGAACGAGAGCTTCGGCTGGGCCCCGTAGTTGGGTGTACCGTAGGGCCCGTATATCTTGCCCTCCCGTTCCAGCTCCCTCTTAAGGGCCAGTGGGTCGTCGTCGAGCCGCCTCAAAGGCAGCGTGTCTGAATTAAAGTACTGGGATCGCTTCCCGGTGATAGAGTATCATCATCCTGGGCAGTCGGACCCCCCGGATGGTGGATGATGGGCAACTCCTCGGACATAGAGGGCGCCTCGCTCGCCCCCGCATTCTCCTTGTACCCTTCGTTCCTGTAGCCCAAGTTGTACGGCTTGGCGCTCTGAGGGACGGAATACTCCGGCGAGTTCTTGTTGAATGTGCTGTGCTTCAGCTGTATCACGTTGTTCGGGTTGTGCGCCTCGTATATATCGAAGCTCTGGTTGTCCTCTATGGACGAGTTGAACTGGCTCTTCTCCATCGACTCCATGGAGGTGGTCGACGCGAGCATTTTCCGGTAGTCCGAACCCTTAGTCAGCGTGTCCGTCGAACGCGTGCTCTGTGGAGTTGGAAATAGAATAAGAATATAATGTATAAAACATATGGTGAGTTAGTACATTGTTTCAGTTTTTACTATTTTCTTTATTGTCGCCGACGAACCGATTGGCGTAGTCGGTAGTGAACATGCCTCTTGCACCATAGGGCATGAGTTCGATCCCCACTGGAAAAATATCGTGTGATGAACATAGATTTCAAGTGTTGGGTGTTTATAAATGTGTATTATTTATTTACAAAAGAAAAGTGTGTTTAAATATTTTCATCAGTTATCTAGTATCCATAGTACAAGTGTTGCTTGGTTCGGGACGTTTAGAGATAGTTGAGTAAAAATGAGTGCTAAGAAAAAAAATGTATGTATATTTCCTGGAAATGTTTTCTTTCACCATGTAGCATGTGAGTGTGTGAATCAGCATTTATATCCCGGCTTATTGTCGCGTTTAACATAATCTATGTGGCGCCATGGATTAACTTTTATTCGGAAAGTAGTTTCGGACCAATTTACTCTGTCCTTACTCCATATTTATTAATACTGAATTTAATTACTGTGAACTAAGGAATTGAAGTAAAGTTATTCTTACTCTAGTCCATGTTTATTTATAAGAATCTATATGTGTAGGATAACTTGTATTGTTCCTAAAGCCTTACCATTTGTGCGAGCTTTCTCCTGTAAGTGTTATCGGGGAATCCCCCGTTGATGCTGCCGATCGAGCGGACCGAATGCAGCGACTGTCGTATCGAGTTCCGTCTCTCTAAGCGCTGCAGATGCCTGAAAACAACACAAAAGCTATATACATATTTTTTGTATTTTAATAAATAAAATCTTATAACTTAAATGATCCAAAGTTGCAACCTAAAAATACTTTGATCATTGTTAAATGAGAATGCAAGTGTTTGTTTCCTTTTCCTAAGTGGCATTAATATGGAATAAAAGATTCAAATTAATTATTTTTTTCATTCTGGGACAACTTTTTTCAGCCTTACAGATGACCGGCGAGAAATGGCGTGTATACTTTTGTTTCATCTGTTGGGTGACGTATTCAAGGCCCACTCTTTTAGAGGTTTCGCAAAGCACACTACCCGATTGCGACCTTCTTACAAAAAAATAAAAGAAAACCGAGTAACTATTTCATTATCGGGCAATAGTATGGCATGTGCATTTTTGCCACCTGCAGTGATGGCTATTCACCTGTGCTTCGACTTGGAGTACCAGCAGATGAGCGCTGCCACAACCAGCACCACCGCTGCCACCAGCACCCCGATGAATGCCACCGCCAAGGTGTCCCCTCGCCAGGCGAGCGGGTCGATGGATATCCTCGGATCTGTTCGTGAAATGGGGCAGACAGCGATTAGTGATGTCCATTATACTCAATCATTGCCGCGCGCGTTTTCGAATCTATGAATTATTTCATCTCGTGATAACGTGATAATTCAGCATATAAAATTGCAATTAACTGTATGCTCAAAGTTGAAGTAAGTATTTATACTTTTGCCTTAAGACCGACGACCTTCTTAAAATATAGCGACATAGCTATAGCCTTACGGATGTTGTAACGTGTAGGTGATCACTTGATATATTTATTATAAAGTAGATACGGTATACGTGTGTGTGTGTGTGTGTGTGTGTGTGTGTGTGTGTGTACGTGTGTGTGTGTGTGTGTGTGTGTGTGTGTGTGTGTGTGTGTGTGTGTGTGAGAGAGAGAAAGAGAGATGGGGTGGGGGGAAGATACGATCGGTTTCCACGATTGTGTCACTCACCTATTTCGCATATGAATGCGTTCTTCTGGTTGCAGTCCGTCACCTCCACCCTAGAGTAGGCGAAGGAGGTGCACTGGGCGACGTGGTCGATGTGGTTCACCCACACCCGGTCCCCGTAGCGGTACCACTGGTTCTGCGTGTGGACGAACTCGTAGAGCGCGTCGTAGCTGCCGCTCACGTACGGCATCGACGCGTTGTCAGACTGCGAAAACACAACGCAGTGTTACAATACACCAGCGGCCCCGACAGACCTTTTCCCTTTTGCGTGCACAGGACTTAAATCCCACAACAAATTATTAAAAAAAAAAAAGTTGTGCACCGAATAGTCGATCTCAACCATTCTCGAATCGACTTGAAGACACACACATTTTAATCAAAACCGGTCCAGCCGTTTAGGAGGAGTTCAGTGAATGAAAACATGCAGAAGAATTACATATATAATGATAGGATGAGGATTATATTGTTATCAAATTGTCTCCCCCCCCCCCCCCCCCACAAATTTCTTATGCACCCCCCCCGGATCACGCACATATCCCTCCAGAAAATAACTATAACTAAAAATACAGAAAACGTAAAAATATAAATCTAGCCTCGCATAGAACACAGGCGAAACTAAATATGCAAGACAGAAATCCTAAAAGAAATAAGGAAATCTCGTTGAGGAACGCAAAGAATCCTCAACTATTTCTCGCCAGACAGACGAACACATGTCTTAAAAATTTTTGCAGATCTGGTACATCTGTTTTACCGTACAAAAGTTATTTTTAAATTAAATCTTCAAGCCATTGATAACAATAAATAATTTTTGGATGGTGAATTGTAATAAGCGTGGAATTACTAAACCAAAATAAGCACAGTAACACTTAATGTTGTAATTTGTTTATATAAAACTAATTAATCATTATTTATTACAGCAAATGTATAATAATATAATATAAAGCATTAAGTGCTGCACTATATTTCAGACAAATGTCTGCAATTTGCATGAATTTATTTTATCGTATCGTATTTTTTTGAAGCTACATTTACGCCCGGTTTCTAGAACACTGATCATCGAAGATGTCAACTAATCAGCTGTCAAATGGCTTTTCAAATTTCATTTTAGTCGTCAGAACTCTCAGATTTGACCAGAATGATCTTAATGATCAATTCAAAGAGTTAAACCCTTACCCATCCTTTTGGCAACTCAATAATTTTCTAAATATCGGTATAATTCATTAAATGGTTATACATTTTTTTAGAGCGTAGGATATAAAAGAAAAAACAGATATTTTATATAATTGTCTTGAATTTTTAAACGTCTGTATGTTGTAATCTAAGCAATTTTTACACTGATATGCCCGAGGTTATCTCACATTTATCATAATTTGCAGGATTTCCAACATTGAAAATGAGAAATATGTTTCTATATTTAGGCGTCAATTCCAACGACTCCGTGGCGCAACGGTAGCGCGTCTGACTCCAGATCAGAAGGTTGCGTGTTCAAATCACGTCGGGGTCATATAGTTTTTTTTTAATGACACAATTCATTTAATAATATCATAAATGTATTTTACAATGTTACTGCAATCCAGTTCAGGTTTTTACGTGGCCCGAAGAATATCATTAAAACTGCGGAAAAAGCATAAAAGACTGTAGGTATCTGTTGATGCTTTTAAAAATAAAATTATTATGGGCCCAATTAAAAACTGATCCTTATAGATAGCTTTTGTATAACTTCGGTAGATCAAACTCCACTTTGTTTACAATTTTTGTCTTTCAATAAAAAAAAATAGTTAAGTTTCTCATCTAAGCAAGTATGATGAAATATAAAAATATGGTAAGTGAACTATTGGACGCTGGAGCTCACAAGGACTGCGGTTTAAGAGAGAGAAAATTAATTATTATTTTTAATAGATAATAGAAAGACCTATAAAATTGGTATGATTAACTATCCTCAAACGGGGGCATTAGAATTTTTTTTGTATGGTTGTCCATAATAGGTTGGGAAGCTATGTTTTAGAACCTTCCACAATGGACAAAGGCGAACTGTTGACTGCCTAATAATTGTTCAGCTAACTTAGTCTTCGGCTTGGAACCACAATGTTCTGAAAAACTCTGGCTCTTTGTGACGTTCTGGATCCCCCAATACTTGTCGCACTGTTCAAAGGCGAACGTCGGTACTCACCTGGCAAAAGCGTCTTGCCTCCTCGTAGCGCATCGGTGCCCCTATGTACATGTAGCAGGTGCCCGATATAGCCGTCCAGCCGGGCGGGCACTTCCCACCCTGCAGCACCGACACATTACTCCAATGGTACGGCAGATACTCCACCTGCGAACGGGCGATAAGTGAGAAAGGGACGCACGTAGCTGGCGGGAAGAGACGGAACGTAACACGTTAGATAGTGCAGCACTGACGCGCTACTAAAATGATACGGCAGATAGTCCACCTGCGAGCAAGCGTTGTGTTAGAAAGAGACGGAACGTAACACGTCAGACGGTGCGGCGCCGACGCATTAAGTGGTTTCGGCAGATAGCCTACCTGCGAACGATCGATAAGTGCGAAGGAGACGCACGTACCTGGTTGGAGGAGACGGAACGTAATAATTAAGACAGGCGGAAGTTCGTGATGAGTAAGTGAGAAAGGGATGCATGTAGCTGGTGGAAAGAGACCGAAAGCAACGCGCAAGACAGGCGGTTCGCGGCGAGATGCCGTGTTGCGTAAAGGAGACGGTTGTACGTGGAAGAACGAGATGCCGATATGTATAGTAAGTTTAAAGGATGGATGCAGCCGGTGGAAAGGGGTACGGAAGTAGCTAGTAGAAAGAGACGGATGTAGCTGGAGGTGCGCAAAGGAAACGGATGTAGATATTAAAAAGTGATGAAAATTGAGAGAAAGTTGCAACAGAACGTTATGTGTCATAGAGTTAACGCAGTCGTGGCGCATGCAAGAATAAAATCGCGAAGACGCGAGGGATTAAGTAAACGGGAATGAGATGTACTAACCTCAAGCAATAGAGGGTCGTCGGATCGATCCCGAATTCGACCAGCCACCGCGAGACTCTCGTTGTAACTCCAGTAGTTGTGTTTCGCGTCAATTCGCGTCCTCCACAGTTCCAAAGCACTATAATTTATATCAGATAATCGATTAAATAAAGTAATACTTTGATTACTCCGCGTCGCAGTTACCAAGATATTGGCTTCGGAGTTGGTGGGTTCGATTCCAACACGGAAAAACATTACGTGTACGATAATGGTAGCCTACAGTAAAGGCAATGTTTTTAATTATAATAAAAAAAAACCTAATGGAATTTTGCAAATGTTTCCTTTAAAAATACACACGTAGAGTATAGAAAATCACAAGTTCTTTACAAATAACTAGGTAATAATTACGGATTTACAGAGCATTCAACACATATTTTATTAACAATTTAAGGAGCACTACATAATTGAATTGTGGACATAGTAAAATTTATCACATTATATATGTCACGGAGTAAAGAATTAATAAGTTTAAACAAATGTGTCCAAATAAGGGACGTGTATTGTATTAATGAAAAAATAAAACTCACCTTATGGCATTGGGATTATAGTCAACAAAGCTTTATGGTCCGGCGCAGCCATGCAACAAAAACATGCAAATAATTCAAATATCAACAATTTAATTCGTACTATATTATATTACTGTACTACATGGGACGAATAAATATGTAACATTTCTAAATATAGATACAATTGGTTTTAATATGTATCTAAATAAACGTAAAATTCAAAATTGTAAATATATTTTCGAAATTTACTTTCTTGCATTTGAAGTCGGTATTGAAAAACAATGGCCACAAATAATTTTAATATTACTAAAAACAAGAAAACTACCGCTTATATTTATTGATTTACCACCACCTCATACACCATATGTCAACATATTTTCCAGCAATATTTTTACAATATAACAAGTTTCAATTTATCAATAAACTTTCTGCATTTATAACAGATAAATACGATATCTCATCGGGTGTTTTAGGATTATTCAATAATATGATGGTTACCATTGAAAAAGCTATTGTTAGGGATGTCGAAAGCGAAGAGATATATCGATATAATAATATCGGCCTAGATATATCGAAAAGAAAATATCGGATATAGGTCCTAGAAACCCCTTTGTCCAAAAAAAGGAACAAATAAAGGTATGTCAAGTATAAAATATTTAACACCTGCGGACTCTGTGCCGGATTCGAATTTGAAAAAATATCGTTATTGATACGATTTTCGATATCAATATATCGATACTTCGGATCCAAATATCTATCAATATATCGATATATATAATGAAAATTATTGATATATCTATATTTTTTCGACATCCCTAGCTAATGTCAGTCATAGGGCAGCTTCCTCGAATGTCGGGGTATACATGCATCTTTTCCCTAATTGAAAGTGTTACCAACATAGAGTAGTTATCATCTCTTTGCCGTCGGTGTATACACGTATCTACGCCCACAGTAAGGATCGTCCAATAATCAACAGAGGTTCTAAAAGGACCAACTATCAACAAGGTGTAATGTGTAATTCACGTGTATTTAATACTAATGCATGAATTCTAAACGGAAAAGTTCAACGATTCAAAGTAGCCAACGATTTGCCCGCCCGGCAGAAGTAAAATACATTACAGTATTTTAACTGTATTCAAACAAAATAATCTAAAATTTTTAAGTTACTTTGTAAAAAAAAAGGACACATGATTTTTGTAGATAAGGGGGGGGGGTGTGTGGTTATACCTCCTCAATTTTTTTTTCTTTTTGAAAAACATTGTACTTTAGGGTAATTATTATCCTGTATTGTAAGGACGTTTTACAAACATGAATTTCACCCGGATTTTTGTAGGTAAGGGGGGGGGGGGGGGATGGTTATACCAAATACCAAATCATCATCGTCATCAAATATTACCAGGGAGAAGGGCGGAGTTACAGATGCTAAAAAATCACGTGATTAATGGACGACCCCTTAAGAGTTAATATCACCGGCAAAGAGTGGTCACGGCCCTGGATGTCAGGGTATACAAGCGTCTATTTGCCATAGGGGGTCGTACTCACATGGAGCGGTTGACGCTGATCATCTCATAGTCGTTGTCTGGGTTGAAGAACACGTTGTCGACATAGTGCTGCCCCGCGGTGCCGGCTGCCACTGTAGCGCGTCCGTTGCGGTCCAGCGCATAGTTCCTGCGGGCGTTTTATATAGATAGTTTTTGTGCGTAGAGTTTTTCAAGCTCGGTGGCGTATGTGCTTAGCTGTTGCATCACTTTGGTTCGATTCCAATGTCCAATTCCGTGTTTGTTAGACAAATAGATAATTGTTTTGGATGATGATGTTTGTTCCCAAGGCGGATACTCTTTTTTTACGTTAGAAGTTCAGCTCATGCTAAGTGAGAACCCCCCCCCCCCATGGACATTTGCAACACCCGTAGGTTTGCAGATGTGTTACCACTCACCAGGCGAAACGCAGAAGTGTTACACTTTAACTTCACGCCGGTCTTCTGTAAGGTCGTTGTACCACGGACGGACCTGCCCATTAGTGCAACAGAGATAACAGTGATGAGGGGCCCTGCCACAGTTTAAACCAAACCGAATGCAAAAATAATTTTTAAAAGAGGTTCATAAATCATCGTGACAAACAAAAAATACAACATTTTTGAAGTCGGGTGAATAAGGTGGAAAGTTTGGATCTCAGTCACTTATATAAGCCGTTGTGCGACGTGGTCTGGTATATGGGCAGGCGGACTTTGTCGAATCCAGGGACTTCCAAGATCCTTAGAACCCATAAGAACTCAATGCAAAAGAATCTTCTAAAATCACTTCACAAATGATCTCAAAATACACAACTGAATCGAGAATCCTCCTTTTTGAAGTCGGCTGAAGAACGTGGGCGGCCACACTCACCTGTAGAAGCCGTTGTGCGACGTGGTCTGGTATATGGGCAGGCGGACTTTGTCGAATCCAGGGACTTCCAAGATCCTTAGAACCCATAAGAACTCAATGCAAAAGAATCTTCTAAAATCACTTCACAAATGATCTCAAAATACACAACTGAATCGAGAATCCTCCTTTTTGAAGTCGGCTGAAGAACGTGGGCGGCCACACTCACCTGTAGAAGCCGTTGTGCGACGTGGTCTGGTATATGGGCAGGCGGACTTTGTCGAATCCAGGGACTTCCAAGATCCTTAGAACCCAAAAGAACTCAATGCAAAAGAATCTTCTAAAATCACTTCACAAATGATCTCAAAATACACAACTGAATCGAGAATCCTCCTTTTTGAAGTCGGCTGAAAAACGTGGGCGGCCACACTCACCTGTAGAAGCCGTTGTGCGACGTGGTCTGGTATATGGGCAGGCGGACTTTGTCGAATCCGGAGACCTGCAGGATCCTCTGGCCGGTGTTCCTGTGCACGTAGTTGAGCGTGAAGTTGGACACGACCTGGCGCAGCGCCACCACGTCCCTGAACTCGGCCCTGTTGCGGGTGAAGTAGTTGCGGTAGATGGTCACCTCCTGGTACGGCGAGGACTGCCGCCCTGGAAAAGGTGATGTGGTTTTGGTTTTATCAGTCAGATTATCTCTACTATGTAAGACTTTGTGGTCGTTGTTGTATTTGTAATTGGGTCTGATTTTTTTTTATGTGACAAGTTGCCAAGCGAGCAGGCGGTTCACTTGGTGAATACGCCGCCCATAGACATCTGCCACACCCGAGGGTTGCAGATGCGTTGACAACCTTTAGAGTTTTGGGCTCTGGCTAACTCACTCACCAGACGAAACGCGAAAGTATTATACTTCCACTTTACGCCGGTCTTTTGTGAGGTCGTGGTACTTACCCGGACGAGCCTGCCCATTCGTGCAACAGCCGAGGCTGCTGCGTGGCCCTACCACAGTTATCCAGCACTGGGCGTGATACGTGGAAGTCCTATTGATATAGTTGCGAAACAACTTACTTATTCATTTATTTAAGCTTCATTGCTTCACCTTAAGTTAAGGGCTACAATGGGTAAATACTTAATGCCTAATGGCCATTCTCTACCAGTCAACTCTTGTCATGGTGATGTGTCATGGTGTCTACTTCTACTTCTGAACATTAGTAATCGCTTAACATCAGGTGAACTGTCTAAAACGGTGGAAGGTACAATCAATTGGGCACTGTGATATCGAGACTATGAAGATTCGAGATGCTGTCAACGTTCCACGCACAAGAACAAAGCGATTCGCTTCGTCATTTATCCTCCGTACAGCTAAGGAATGGAATAACCTGCCGGCGTCCGTCTTTCCGCCCGCTTACAACGTACTTCGAGGCAAGAGTGAATAGGTTTCTACAGAGCTAGCGCGCTTACCTTCAACGGGTGCATCACCACTTGCCATCAGGTGGGAGGGAGGGCTGTCAAGTGCTGGCCAGTTTTGAATTAAAAAAAAAAAGACTGTGAAATGGTTGACCTAGTGACAAGGTGTAATTGTCTGATTTGTTTTCCACATACCTTCGACTTGCAGGCAAGGCAGGTCGTGGTTTCCGTAGAACAGGTTGTTGTGGATCCATCCGCGGAGGGAGGTTGCTGAACCACGCGAGTCTGCACGCACCAGTAGACCGCCAACGTTGTCTCTCAGGAGGTTGTTCTGAAAAGACGAGGTTAATATTTTTGTTTACTCGTGTTATTGTGTTATAATTGCCGCACTATTAGTATTAGGTCATGTACCAATGATAACGTAAGGTCTCGTATATAAATAAAAATGGGTTATCATATCGTAATCTTGTATATAAAAATGGATTACTGTTCGTTAGTCTCGCTAAAACTCGTGAACGGATGGACCAATTTGGCTAATATTGATTTTGAAATATTTGTGGCAGTCCAGGGAAGGTGTAAACGATGAGAAATTATGGAAAATTGAAATAGCAACAATTTTATTTTCCCATACAAACTGTACCTGCCAACATGTCAACTATGTCTGCCAAACACTTCCAAATTCCCTAGAAATAATTTATATGGCAAAATAACGTTTGCCGAGGCAGCTAGTTGGTAATAAAAATGGTTTCAGCTCACCCGAAACACAAGAGTCTGCGTGTTTTGCACGTCAACTACCACGGCGGCGGCACAAGTGGTGAAGTTCCCGTACAACTTGAGGCAGTTGCCGGTGAAGTCGTTGCGGGTCATCGCTACCAGTGGGTTCACTTCGCCGACCGACTGGTAGTTTATGGCGCCGTCGCGGTTCTTCGTGAACTCGCTGTTGGATATGTTGTGCTGGACGTCGCGGTCTGGAAGTTTCGAGAGCGTGTTGAATGTATTTGAGGCGGATTAAAGGTCTTCTGGAAGTTTCGAGAACGCGTTGAATGTATTTAAGGCAGATTAAAGATCTTCTGGAAGTTTCGGAAACGCATTGAATGTATTTAAGGCGGATTAAAGGTCTTCTGGAAGTTTCGGGAACGCGTTGAATGTATTTTAGGCGGATTAAAGGTCTTCTGGAAGTTTCGAGAACGCGTTCAATGTATTTGAGGCGGAAGGTCTTCCGGAACCTCTCTTATGTGCTAACGGCTCGCAAACTTCTAATAGTTTGTGGAAGAGAAGGACTTAAAACTCAATGGATTTGAATTAGAAAACAAATCCCTAAATGGAGAATTAATGTAGCCCCTTAGGGTAAGAGTAGTGACGCCCGTGGTGATCCAAAAACTTGCCAGAAATGTTAAGCCTAAAAAAGTGGCAACGTATCTTGCAACCCTACGGGTGTTGTAAATGTCCAGGGGTACGATTATCATTTAACATCAAGTGAAATGCCAGCTTGTTTGCCATCGTCGCACATAAGAAAAAAACCCGCCATGTGCGAGTCAGATTCGCGCACGAAGAGTTCCATACCATTATCTTTAAAAACTGCAAAAAAAAATCATGTATGGAAGAGCCCCACTTAAATATTTTTTATTTTGTTTTTTAATATTTGTTGTTATAGCGGCAACAGAAATAAATCATCTGTGAAAATTTCAAGTGTCTAACTATAACAGTTCATGAGATACAGCCTGGTGATAGACGAATAGACAGAAAGACAGTGGAGTCTTAGTAACAGGGTTCCGTTTTACCCTTTGGGTACTCTAAAAATACGCACGTAGGAAAACATGTACTATAGTTTTGCTTTCGATGATCATAAACAGTATACTCACTGAATCCTATAGCGGATATCGGTAGGGTGACGACTTCAGCGATGAAACCATGGACGGAGGACGCGCCGTTCGCGAACAACTTGACGCTCAGACTGGCCCCCTCGGACCTGAACAGCCTTTTCTCGTCTGCGGAACCGCTCTCCAAGTAACCGATTAGGGGCGCGGTGACGTTGTAAATGTCGCCGTCGTACAAACTCAACGAGTCGCGTTTCCCGTAGTTCAGCGTGTGGTTGAACAGGTTGAACTGCAGCAGCCTGAACCCGAACGGCTTCACGCGGTACACGCTCTTGAATATTTTCACGCAGTTCACCGGGTTGTTGTCATACTTGTAGTACAGGAGCACGCGCTCCTCGACCGTTATCACTTTGGAGCTGTCGCAGATGTCGACGACCGAGAACAGATGGTAGGGGAGGCTCAGGCTCTTGAGGGGGGTGAAGCTTGACTCGTCTGATTCCCTACCTTCGCCTGTTAGGGATATAGCGTTCACACCCTCGCCGAGCACGTCGTTAATGGAGTTCGTCATCAAGTTCATTGTGTCGGTCGGCGAGATTATGTTGATTCCGTGGTGGGCGCACTTCGTTATGTTCACGTTCTGTACGCTGGGTGTCTTCGTTATGCTCTGCAGCGCTGGAGATTTTTCGTTGTGCAGTATCCCGGCTCCCACTATGTGGACGTGTTGCACGACGCTCTCTACTCTCTTGAGGGTCTCGTGCGTGTGGTGGTCGTGGATCCTGTGCTCGTAGAGCGAGTACTCGAACTCCGGGTAGGTGAATCTGATGCCGCCCCAATAGTCGAGCCCCTCGTCCAGGTTCCTCTCGCCGCAGTGGATGAACACAAAGTCTGAGTCCCACTTGCATTCGTGCCTGTGTCCGTACAGTTGGCCGTTGAGCCTGATGGGGCAGTCCTCGTAACGGTCTTCTGTGCCGACGCATTGCAGCGGCTCGGGCCACGACCAAACCCTGGATAATGAGCTGCTGTGATATTCCACTCGGCGGTCGTGCGCGAAGAAGACGTTGATTGGATCGAAACCGAGCTCCCGACACACGACTTGTGCGTTCCTCTCGGTGAAGCGACTATCGCACATAGGCACCCATTGCAGAGTAGTTTTGTTGTAGTATTCCAAGAAACCTTCGTTTGTACTTCCAGTATTCGCGTCATTAGTAGAACAATTCCTTCCGGTGCATAGTCTTATGGACTTATGGATTGTTAAATTCTCCAATTGTCGTCTTTGCTTACGATGAGCCGATGAGTATTGGCCGACGTTTCTTTTCTCAATTCTCTTTTCGTCGCTGTTTCCGTTAACAGCAAGTGGCCTCATTAATATTGGGAGCTGGGAGTGACCAATCGCACGCAACGTACCTAGAACAAGTATACCAACGTTTGGCGCAAATTCTAAGATGACTCCTGGATTGATCGTTAACGTAACGGCAGGCATCACAGTTATGTCAGCTTTCACAATATACGGCGCGATACGCGATTCCAGGGTTAGGTCGGTGATCAACCTGCCCCCGAGTTCATTAATATTGATGGAATTCTCCGCACTAAAAGTTATAGACACGCTTGAATCAAAACTGTCTTCAAGCAAATAGGGCAGGTACGTTGCAATGGCATGATTGTTCCAATCGTCGAAATCGAAAATTTGCTTCTTTATTTCCCCCTCGTCGGCACTACCCCACCAGTTTTCTGTTACGTCTAACAGATTGTCTATTTTCGCCGTTTTTATGCCAGCGACCAAAGTGAATTGCAAATCGTTATTCCCGAACAGGTTTCTGCTCACTTTCACTTTCTGAATTCCTTTAAAGCCTATGACGTAAGTCGGATCTAGACTTCTGATCAAAGCCCCCTGGTTAACGGCCGAAGAGAATCTATTGTTTTTGACTTGATTATAAACGAATACGGCGTAAACGGATCCCATTATTTCACTTTGGCTGTCCATAAAGTATTGGACCATGTACTGGCCGTTGTTCCTCTCAATTGAGTTACCGTCGACTTTCATTTTCTTTTCCATACCGCGAATCGATATCAAACCGACTTTACAAATGTTGTCGGTGAAGATATTCTTCGTAATATTAACTTCGGCGAAATGGCCGTCGATAATCAGTCCGAAATTCTGGTTGTTCCGCCAAGTGTTGTTGTACATAAAGACTGAATGAGTGAAGTTTTCATTGTACTTCCAGACGTAAGGCAACCCGACATCGAACCCGCCCTGTTTATTTCTTTCAATTGTGTTATCTTGAAGTACGTAATGGTAAAGATTATTTGAGCTTCTTAAATCTCTCGCGAAGTGATATACTCCTTTACCATTATCGGTGATTAAACTATTGTTAATCATCAGAGTTATTTCTGTGATATTGCTTTCGTGGATATCCCAATATGGCGTATTGACGTATATAGCCTCTTCTTTGTTATGGGCGATTTCACAATTAAATATTTTAATGCTTTCGTTAGCTTTACGTAAGAAGTGATCGCCCAACTCGTTCAAATATCTATTATAGTAAAGCGCTTGAACGCCTTTAGTGTTTCCTTTGATTTTTGAATTAACGATTTGAAGAGTAGGAACAGGTCCTTTGACTATCCTATTTCTTATGTTTTGCACAGGGGCCGTTATTGTACTCACAACTAAAACCACGCCTCCTAAAGCAGCGCGACCACTCTCGTAAGTCAATACAATACTAAAACTACTACTTGTCGTAGGAAAAGTTGATAAGTCCCTATCTAAACACCATTTTGTGCTTGCTTCGTTGATGTTTTGTGAATCATAGATGCAAATGCTTTCAGTAGAAAAATTGTGTATAGGATTTAAAAGTTGTAACCCCAGCACGTAACCAGGATTACATTTGACATTATAAGTTTTAATAATATTATCGCCATAATGTTTAGTGAACACTAAATGCCTCGTTTCTCCATTCACTAGACTTATGTCTGTTTCATAATCCGGGATCATTATGGGGCGATAGTTCGATTCGTCCATATTAAAACCTGGATCTATATTAAACCACCCTGCTATTTCTCTCTGCTGCGGTCCTGTTAGATGAGGATTGTGCAAAATACCAGCTATATTGTTGTTTTCTATAACAGAACTGTGCACTTTAAGTCCTAACTGCTTAAAACTTATGCCACTTCCCTTGTTGTTACTAAACTCCGAATTTCTGACGACGTTTATGGCATCAGCGCCGTATAAGTCAGAGTATAAAACACCTAATCCGTCATTATAATTGTTGGATACCTTCACACTTTCAAAACCATGCCGGGAGAAGTCTATTTGAAGAGCAGGCTTAAAGAGATTCAACGAATAATCTAACAAACCAGCTTTTTCGATGGTAATGTATTGCAGATCAGCTCTTTCGGCGATAACACTGAACCTTAAGCCCGCCCAACTTGTTTCGTAACATCGTATACCGACGTCGTTGTTATGTGTACAGGAGTTTTCGAAATGTTCAACGGTCTCCGCTTTACATTTTGTTATATCATTATCGAATTCAGTACATTCGACGTTTGATAGAATAACATCTTCCGTAATACCTGCGATTGGTATTTCATTAGGTTCTAAAAACCAATCGTTTGGATTTAATGCTAAACCTAATTGATTGCAGACTAAAGCAGCATTTATAATATTCCAGTTGTAATTACATACCGTTCCCCACTTATTATCAATTCGAACTTGCAATCTACCCTCGTACTGTGTCCTTCCACCTAAAAGTCTAATTGGTATTAAGGGTTCCATATAAACGGGTGTTGTTGGTTCTATTTCCACATCTGTTTCGTATATGCTATCATTACTCATCACAATATCTTCCTTCAGAGTAAAGGTAATGTCGTTAGGGCGTTTTCCTTTTGCCTCTAGTTTACCAGCAATCATCATTCCTATTGCCGGAGGAAATTTCAATGTGACCCCTGATTGAAGGACTAGTTTCCCTCCAGGCCTAATATTTATGTCTTTATCAACATCATATTCTCCTTGTCTCAAAATTTCTATGCCATCAACTTCACCTCCCACAACAAATGTTCCAGGAACGTTGAATTGCGGAACGAAGAGCGAATTATAGTTAATTTGTGTTGCACCAGGATTACTACTATGCAATAGATATGGCATGTAAATAATTTTTGCCAAGTTGTAGCGATCTTTTCGATGGAATAGTCTATTGTAAATCTTTTCTTCCTCACCGAATCCAAGCCAGTTGTAGGTACAGTTCAGTATTTTACTTTGATCTTCGACATGTGAACCTATTTCGTACTGAGCTTCTGGATTATTGATTATATTTCTAAACACATCTATATTGCTTGAACCCAGTACTATCGTTGCTGCTACTTTACTACGCGGTGTCAATCGTGATGGAATACCTTCCAAAGGTTCAAATGGCTCCCTTATTTTGTTATCTCTCAAATAATTTCTTGAAAATAAAATATACTGAATATCGCTGTAGGGTGAAAGGCCAAGGTTGACAACAAAAGGACCTCTATTACCATAAAAGTAATTATGTTGTATATAAAACCTAGCAGGTAGCATTTCAAATTCTTCCAAATATTTACCTTGAATACGATTCATAATAACTATTGCTCCATAATCACCATGCTCAAAGTAATTGTACTCGATTCTTCCATGAACGTTAAGAGCTGGTTGAAGTTTTATAGGAACTCTGAGATTCTGATAAAATTTGTTGTGACCTATTTGTAAATGTAGCAATTTCGGTGGGTCATTTAATTTCCAACATGATGAAATATCTACAGTGCTTTCGACACTTGAATTGAACCAGTTTCCTGTAAGATTCACCCAACTGTCACCACAAAAGTTCCCGTGTAAAATACCAACATCAAGATTTTTAAATATTTCCGAATATTCAATAACGGTTGTTTGATTTACTGCAATATATTCTGTTTCTTCGGTATTATTTAACCACACAGCAATACCATAACCATTGTTTGAGCTAATTGTACTTCTTGATATGTTTCTGTTCCCACCAGTCACGGTGACGTTTATGCCATCACCTTGGTTAAATGATATCCTACTCTCTGTAACATTTACATCTCCAGCACCATTAACTACTTGCAACCCAGCAACGTGATTATTATTTGAAATTGATGTCCGGTGTATATGCACTTGAGATCTTAGATTTTCAATGACAACACCCCTTCCATTATTGTCCGATATTATCGTGTCAGTTACATTTAAGTCATATGTCTTGCTTACACCAGATGTTAATCGTAAAAAGCCAATAATACTTGTTCTAGTGTTTGCATGAAATCTTACGTACATGCGGTTCCTCGTAGATGTAACACTTTGGGGCCGAGTATGATTTCGAATTCCGAAGGATAACAGGAGTTTATCATCCGACGTTAAACCGTCGTAAATAAAAATTTCCCCTGTATTGTTATTATTTGTAAATAGGTTTATAAAACTTAAAGTAAGAACATGATCCGGTCTGGTATAAAATTTTTGATGACAATCCCTTTCCATATTGGAGTATTTCGATTGTTCGATGGACATTTGTATGGGAAATGTTTGACTGGGTGTTGACGCTAAGGTGCATAGATCGAATATTTCACTGCGATCTAATTTCTCGTCAATGGTCATTTCATGAACAACGTACTTAATGCCATCGCCGCCGTTATCGCTAATCAAACAATTCTCAACTTTAGTCATACCATAAGTAGAGTTGACGTATACACCATATCCTCTGTTATTCTGTATTGTGCAATTATTTATAACTATAGGAGCGTTTGGAGACGTTACATTTATAGCATTAAATGCTGAATTTGTGATTTTAATATCTTCCATGACAGGCGGCACACCTATCACGTCTAAGGCACTCGTTGCATTATTATCTCTTCCTAGCCCTGCATTTCTAACAACTACGTGTTTTAGAATTGACATCGAAGTTGGAATGTATAAGGTGTTTTCAGCAGTCAGTATTCTTTCGAATACGGCGTTCTCGAACCGTAGACCTCGCCAATGTTGGCCGAAGTTTGTTATTTCATTATCATCGTGGTGCGGCAAACATTGTATACCAAGATCGGGGTGGAAGTCACAAACGCCTGAGCCGAGCTGTCTTGAATTCCAGTCGCATTGGAAGAGATCATACTCTGTCCCTTTACACTTGGGCTCCTCTAGTAAGAGGCGCGCTCGTCGCCCCGGTTGTCTGTCCATCCAGTTGTAGAATGTTCCGCCCATGAACCCTAATTGCCTGCACGCAGTCTCCATGTCGTTGATAGTCCAACTGGAACAAAAATAACGGTCACTTTTTGGTTGGCTGATTTACTGCACGTAAATATGTCGTAACAAATAAAACATGTTAGAATAAATTGAATTTTGAAAATTATTGTTTGAATTGTTAGAATTTTGGTGACCGTAAGCCGTGACAGTTTCTCTAAAACTGTAATAACTGTTACTTTAGATTACTATGGATTTATTAAGCTTTGCTGAAGTTCTTTGATTTTCCATTAGTTAAATACCGTGAAGGTTATTCTTACTTACTTTCTGGAATTTGTACATACGGATCTCCATTGGCCTCTGTGAAGGATCTGCACTCTACCCGCGAGTATAGACGGTCCATCCACGAGCCGAATGCCAGGTATCTGAGACGGCTTCGTTGGTTCCTCCGTGCTCGTAAAAGTTATTTTACTATCATGCTTCCCCTGGAACAAAGTAAGGGTCATTTAAATTTGAAAGCACTTGGGAAATTTTCCAATGACTCGTTTGACACAAACAATTGCCAAGCTCTGAGGTTCCCTGTTAATTACTACCTCTAATACGGATTAGTACGGCCTACATAAAACTTTTAAAATAATTTAGGAGATCCTCAAGTGCAATTTATGTATTTTAAAAGTCTCTAAGTAGAATATTCATGGTGTAGGTATGACATACGTTTGAAAATGTGAAAAAATAGTAACAAAGATAAAAATAATTAAATGCATGCTATTCCAGAAGCAAACTGTCAGAAACAAACATTAAACGTCTATCATTAAGACGTGGTGTATTCGGTATACGATTTGATCTAGAAAAGCGAAATCTGACGATATATCAAGTTAAATAAGCCAGAGGATTTAATTGTCTTGACTCCCATCAAAGTTCTATTGCGATAAACATTCACAAGTGTACAGCTACTCCACTTTTGGGTTCCATACCCAAAGGATAAAACGACCCTATTAGTAAGACGCCACCGTCTCTTTGTCTGTCTGTCCGTCTGTCACCAGGCTGTATCTCATGAATCGTGATAATTAGACAGTTGAAATTTTTACAAATGATGTATTTCTGTTGGCGCTATTACAACAAATAATAAAAAACAGAATAAAAATATTTAAGTGGTGCTCCCATACAACAAACATGATTTTTGCCGTTTTAAGTCCGACTCGCACTTGGCCGGTTTTTAAACATTAGCAGCCTACCAAGCTTGGCAAGCACACCACCATGTATGTATTTGTATCTCGTAAGGGTTGGATATTAAGTCCCAATGATCACTGCGCCCTAGAAGATATATTGTAGTTTTCTCTTCGAAAATATTTCCCTTTAACATTCAGGGGCAACGTTCTACATAGAATAAAATTATCCCGTTTTGTAAGAACAATACAAAAATTTCATGGAGCTGTATCCGAAAGACTTATCTGTGGGTCACACAAATAGTTTTCTCGTGTGGGAATCAAACCCACGACCGCTGGCGCCGAAGCCAATTCCTTGACAACTGTGCCACGGAGTCATCAAGTTAAAATCATATACCATGAAAATAAGAATCTTTGAACACTCAAAGAAAATTAGAAAAGAACTACCTATGCAATAGAATGTCTTATTTCACGCTTCTGAATCGTGATGTGGCGAGTCTAAATAGCTACATCAGCCGTAAAGAAGCGACCGAGCAACGATTGGCCGTGGCACCAAGAGGAAACGCAATCCATTTTAGTAACCATTGACAAATAACATTGTCGGGCTGTATTTTTCGGAAAGTGAAGCGAAAGTGAAACTAATTAGCGAAGTAGCAAGATCCAAATTTATAGTTCCGATAAATGTCCCGTTACTTCTGCACAGTGGGGCCAGTGGGCGATCAGCGAGTCAGTTTTTTTTTAATAAAACCATTTTTACTAATTCATTGCATTTTAAATCTACCCCGCGATTGTTATTGAGTAAAATATTCGACAAATTGGGAATTTAAAACATTTATATGACATCTCAAATTTTACAAAATGGGATGTAAACCATGGTAATATAAAAACGATGAATAATTTCATTTTGCAATTTGTATTATTCGCCCGAGTTCAAGTAATCATTCAGGATCAGTTACCATAGAAATGTATATAACATAGAAACTAAATAATGTTGCTGCTTTAATACGAATAATTTATGTTTAAAGGCGAAGGTCATTATCATGTGACATCAGCTGCTCATATGGGTACCATTAGGTTGGACGGCCTACACTAGGGCGTGGTCGTACTAACCGGAAATAAACATCGAATTAATGACCTTTGATAGGTTTGCTTCGGACCGGACCCGTACCTCGGGTTTTTCTGATTATGACACGCGGTCGTTCATTATATTCCTTTGCTAATGAATAGTGGGTTTGATAAAAAAGAAATTATTTATACCAAGATTGGTGCTATAACTTGATATTTTCTTATCCAAAAAAAGTAACCATTAGTCAAAATAAATATTTGTGAGTGCATCTAATTTTATCATATCACATTATTTAAAAAAAACAGACTGTTTCATGAAGATGGCAATTTTATCCATTCCATTTGGCAACGAGTTGAAATTTTTATTTACTGTGACAACGTAGTAATGTTGATCACATATATCAATTGTATTGTTAACTTAGCTCAAATACAATTAAAGTACACCGCCTATTATAAAACCCAATATGTTTGGGCGTTTATAGCTAGTGACAGCTGGTTCGATTTGCGCGAGTTTTGACATAAAATAAATAGGAGTTTTGACATTAAATGAATAGTTGCACATTAATTTACAATAGCTAAATAAGAACTCCACGAGAACGGGAACGAGGTGTCGGTTAATGGAATAGGTCCTATAGATTCGACCATCGAGGTCTTTGGTCGGTGCACGGGAATCGTCCGCAAACTGAGCCCTTGCACTTCGCCGTGACCGTTCCAACCGTGGGCCCCATTCATGCCGTCACGTACACCGTCGGACCCCATCTGTTTAAAATCGGCCGGAAATTGCGTTTATCAACCGATTATAGGTGTCACGGGTGAAGTTCTTTTTTTTAAAGAACAACACTACAAAGGACAAACAAGGACTACGTCTGCGTAGAATAGTCTGAAGGCGAAACATTCAGAGAGAAAGACAGATATACATAAAAACAAGTACATAAATTATGTCTTATTCTGACGTAAAAGCTATATTATTGTAAAGTTTCATTAAAATCCATTCAGTAGTATTTGCGTGAAAGAGTAATAAACATCCATCCATACATACAAACTTTCGCCTTTTTAATATTAGTAAGGATTTCTATTTATACATAGGCAATATAAAAAATTCATAAATCGTATGTAAAGATTGCTTTTAAGTAAGAATATGGCAAGCGAGTTGGCTTTTGCAACACCCGTAGTGTTGCAGTACGTTGCCACCGTTTTATAAGTGGGCCCCGGTTACCTCACTCACCAGACGAAACAGATATAGATTAACATTAATTATGTGACGTCGTGGTACTTCCCCGGACGGACCTGCCCATTCCTGCAACAGCGAAGACTGTTGCGTGGCCCTATGTATGATGTACGGTTCAAAGTCAAAATTATTTCTCTAAATTGAGTTCAAGCTCTCCTCTCCTCTCTACTTCTCTACACGTTTATGGTTAAAGTAAGTTTTCCTTTATATCTGATTTAATAATCAATTATTATTATAATGATGTACTATATGTATATTACTTTTTCTCAATCTACATAGAAGTTTTTAGTGTTTTATTGGGGGGATATTCATTTGTTTTGATTGATTTAGTGTTTTTATTATTACGTTTTTATTATCTGTTTCTTATCATTTAACATACGTAATACTAACACATGTTCACTAATTCACTTAGGGGACCTAATAAACGTAGTAAAATGAATAGTTAAATAATTGGTTAATAATTTTATTTAATTTCATACAATTTAGATTTCATTTCAAAACATAATATGCAGCGACATAATTATTTTCTTTGTTCCAAGATTATATAATAATGAGTCAAGTTTGATCAAGATATCTGGACCAGAGGGGCAGAAAGGGGCAGAGCCAGGGCCAACTCCTTACATGATAGTCCTTAAATTATGGATCTACAGAATGTAAGGGTTTTAAATATAAATAAAATAATAACAAATATTTTAGGACACATTTTCTAGTCCCAAACTAAGCAAAGCTTGTACTATTGGTACTAGAAAACTGATAAACATACTTTTCTTTTGTAAATAAATACATATAAACACCCAGACACTAGAAAAACACCATGTTCATCACACAATATTTTTCCAGTAGTGGGGATCGAACCCACACCCTCTGGCGCAGGAGGCAGGTACACTACGCACTACGCCATTCGCGTCGCCTGTTATATGTTGTACATTGGTTACTTTCCCAAGACAACACTCACTATTGTTTTTGGCTTAAATTAATTGTGATGCATTACCGAAAAGCCTGTACAAAATACTCCTTTAGATTCTGGTGAAAGTAGACAACTTTTCCCACATAAATGACGTCATCAGTTCCGCGGCCCCAAACGAAATCTCCACTTAACAGTAATACGCAAAATATCATTTAATAGCATTTCATTGCTTTCGATATGGAAATCGCCTCACGATATATGACGATCGTATTATCACGATTATTGGCTTTCGATTATTCCTATATATCGTCTTTCGTGTCATTCTTTTGGCGGGTTAGCTATAGTTGCTTTTCAGTAGAGCAGATATTATACCAAGAATGAATAAATCGTAACCACTTTCAACTAAGTTTCCGGTAAATATTTAAGAAAATAAGATTAAAATGAGAGAAAAAAAAATTCAAATAGAGAGTATTTTGTGCGATAAACTTCAATGAGGAATTTGATAAATATACGTTCGTTCGTTTCGTGGCGGCAACGGACACGCTTCTGGATTTATAATATAAGTACAGCGATACTATAACAAAAAAACTTTTGTATATATCTAAGATTGTCAGTTGGTGTGTTAGAAAGGCAGAGCACTAACTGACGGCAGCTTAAGCGGTTTAAAAACGGATTGATTCGTACGGAGGAGCAAGGGTAAATTAGAAGTATTTATATGGAATAGTTTTCTCGAACAGAACTAATGTTGATCCTCTTACGCATTTTAAGTGGCAATGAGGTGGCCATACAGCTCGTAAAACCCATACCCGACGGGAAGATTTCTCGAGTGGCAGCCTCGTATTGCCCATCGTAGAATACGAGCGACAGAACCACTAGATGAGGTGACAACCTGTGCAAATGTGTGCAATGCGGTAAGTCGATGGATGCAGATGTCTTAGGGTCGTGTTGCAGTCTGTGCGGGAGACCTATGTTCAGCAGTGGACTCTTAACATTTTAATATTTACATACTGACTCGACTTAAAGTATTGGTCCGGTGCTGACATTTTTGAAGGTGGCCCGGGTGTTACGTGTGCCAATAGATGAACCGGTATGCATTTACCATACAAAAACTCAACTTATTATTGGCGCTGATAAGGAGGCGGGTTCTTTTCTCGCTCACAGGTTAAGGGCGTGTTTGCGAAATCTCGCGGAATCTGCAAAAATAGGGGGTTTTCAGGTACATTTTGCGGCAAATCGAAACGAATATAATGTAAGTAATAATTATCACATATAGATCCCTCCTTCATCTTCAAATGGTAGATAGTTTTTAATCGAAAATTTTGGTTTATAATATTGTAAATGAGAATTTTCGTGACCACTTCACTCAAAATGGACGAAATCCTGTTGGGTTTAGGAACATTTTTCTCTTATTTAATAACATATTTTTTTTATTTAAAAATAATTTATGTAAGCACACATGTTCAACTCAAAAAGGTAGCTACATTACGTATCAAAATTGTTGAAATTAGTTTCAGAAAAAAATAAAGATTAAAATCTATTTCTTTCACATTTATATCTTACGCGTGAATCTTAAGTGATTGACATAAAGGTTATTTTACTGGTCACTTTTTTGATTTATTCCACAAAAATATTTAAAGAAATATTAGTCGGCGCTCGGCTGCCGTCATGAGTGGTCACTATGTCGCTTATAAACAGCAGCTCGTGAATACAAAATATTTGTCGTAACAAAGTTGATACTTTACACATCATGTTCGGACTTCGGACTACGAACGACAAAAGTAAACTATAATTCACACTTTGTCATATTTTTACTAGAAATTAGTAGGGGTTAAAAATTCATATTTCGTTCCACTTGATGGAGTGACCTGAAGGTGTACTTCGAGAACTGCTACTGGAACTAACAGACGAGATGAGCTACGTATTTCGAGTTTGGGCTAGTTTTTATTAGGTATGGTGAGACCTTGCCTTCTGACTAGATGGAGTGAACTGAAGGTGTACTTCGAGAACTGCTACTGGAACTAACAGACGAGATGAGCTATGTGTGTCGAGTTTGGGCTTGTTTTGTTAGGTATGGTGGGACCTTGCCTTCTGACTAGATGGAGTGACCTGAAGGTGTACTTTGAGAACTGCTACTGGAACTAACAGACGAGATGAGCTACGTATTTCGAGTTTGGGCTAGTTTTATTAGGTATGGTGAGACCTTGCCTTCTGACTAGATGGAGTGAACTGAAGGTGTACTTCGAGAACTGCTACTGGAACTAACAGACGAGATGAGCTATGTGTGTCGAGTTTGGGCTAGTTTTATTAGGTATGGTGAGACCTTGCCTTCTGACTAGATGGAGTGAACTGAAGGTGTACTTCGAGAACTGCTACTGGAACTAACAGACGAGATGAGCTATGTGTGTCGAGTTTGGGCTTGTTTTGTTAGGTATGGTGGGACCTTGCCTTCTGACTAGATGGAGTGACCTGAAGGTGTACTTTGAGAACTGCTACTGGAACTAACAGACGAGATGAGCTATGTGTGTCGAGTTTGGGCTTGTTTTGTTAGGTATGGTGGGACCTTGCCTTCTGACTAGATGGAGTGACCTGAAGGTGTACTTTGAGAACTGCTACTGGAACTAACAGACGAGATGAGCTATGTGTGTCGAGTTTGGGCTTGTTTTGTTAGGTATGGTGGGACCTTGCCTTCTGACTAGATGGAGTGACCTGAAGGTGTACTTTGTTTAAATTTAAATACTCCGGGAGGCCTATGAACCTATCTGGTATTTTATTATAAATTCTTATTTCCATGCAGCCAAATGTTGGCCAAAAGTACACCACATGTAGAAAAGTTGTATGGATAATTAAAAATACAAGTAATACAAAACAAATTTGCACATTTGCAAATTGTAAGATTAGGCATGTCTAAAAGGTCATTTTTTTGTATATTCCAATGAATAGGTGTAATAAACATGTACTTCAAAAGTTTCGAACGACAGCTCTGTGGCAAACTTTTTGTTTCACGTTTATGACCCCATTTATCGTTTATTGTTTTGTCGTGTTTCGTACTGATCAACTTTTATGATCATGGATTCTGCCTAAAATAATACTTAATTTTTTTAATGACTTGCAATCTTTTGGAACAAATGGTATCTATAGTAAGAACGTCTTTAAAATAGGCAAAACACGAAAAAAAAAAAATAGTTATGTAAAAATGTAGTGGGTCTCAACTTAAATTATCAAAGACTTATTTTTATGGCACAGTTATCACATACAACATTTATACCTCTTATAACTCAATTGTTGTTTCAGATGCCAAAGCCTAAAACGATAAAATTTTTGCAGGCTACTACTTCGATATAGATAACAAAAATAATTAAAAGATAGAGAACTATAAAGAAAAATCACAAAGATCCGACACAGAGCACCCCGACTCCGTGTGGTCTTCCCTATCCATAGAGTGAACATCAAAAGGCGGAGCCAGAACCTCGTGTCGGAGGTATAAATTGGCCTCGCGGGCTTGCTCCACCCAGGATCGACATAGCGACGGTTCTGGCGAAGAGCATGGAGGAGTCAAATTAAAAAATGAAACAATATTTTTTTAAGCTATTGCACAGCTTTTATCGCGGGCTTTGAGCGCGGCGA